GTCAGGTAGAGTTTAAAATATCTTCAAAGGCTATATTAATATGAGTGTTGAGCTTTCTTCAAGTTGAAGCGCCTTAATATTTGTTCACACAGTTGGCCAAATTATGTATTTACAAACAGCCTGTCTGGCAACAGGCATAAAATAGATGCAACACATATTCTGCTTGTATAAAAATGAAAGATCTTATTAGAAATAATTTAAACCTAAATTTTTTCATCAATGATGTATATTTTTGATAAGCACATCTACAATAAAGTGTAGCATTTGAAAAGTATTGGTAGTTGAAAAGTCTACTAATTAAAGTGTGTGTAAATAATACATTTTAGGGACGGTGTAGTCAAATGGTAGTTTACAATTGCTATCCTGAAAGACTTGAGTTTGGATCCCACACTTGACTCAGTAGGACGTCCCATAGTCCACGCAGCTCTGATGGGAAAAAAATGCAGCTGGTCAGTTTGTCAGAGCTCAAGACACACACCTGACTAATAGGATTCACAATTGGATTTTATCTGTGTAGATGATAGAACTCTTAAGAATGGTTTAGTTAATGCCCATATGAAACTGGTGGCATTCAGTACCTCCTTAAAGGTTAAGAAACACTGCTTTAAATTTTCACTTTGGATTTTATATGGAAATAAATATTGAACAAGCAAAAGATGCAACGAAATTCATAAAAAAATATTTTACCATCATTTAAGAAAAAAATGCAATGCTATGTTTAAACAGTAATGATTAAAATTTTATACATTTACAAAATAGAGGTTACTGTAGTGTAAGAGGTGTGAGCAGAGAATTTTATGACTATTGCTTTTCTTTTTACTTTAAAATAAAATTAAGCAAATGAGAAATTCTTAGAAAAAACCACATGAGTTTTATTTTTGTTCAAATAAATGTAAATATATATTCAAATGTAACGACTGGTCTCTTTCTTATACCGCGTTTACACTTGCGACATGTATACCATACATTTATAGAAAAAAAAACTTCGCTATACGGCCGAAGTTAATAGGGGAGCCTACTCACTTATTGCGTAGTTTTTTTTCTAACCATGTATGGTATACATGTCGCAAGTGTAAACGCGGTATTACACATATAGCAACATACAGTATTTTAATCTTAGTATGGTTCGATCTTGGTATATTTAAATGGTATTATGAGCAATCATTTATCAAGAATCAGATTTATCTGTTTTTGAACTAGAATTTTATTCATTAGCCCTTTTTTTATAATCACATATTGGCGTCTGCCAGATTTGTTGCGACACTTACAAGGACAAAACATGTTTTTTTGTGCATTATGGCACCTGAGTAGTCTAAAAGGTTAGAATTTCCATGTTTAAAAAATGTATGTAGTAAAATTATCTAATGCAGAGATAATTACCTATTAACAGAGCTGAGATCTTCTCTAAACTTTCTTGTATAAACTTATCAAATTCTACCAAACTGAATAGGTGCTCACACAGAAGTTAGGTGTAAACAAAAGTTTGTAGAATCCCGTGCAGACGACCTTGTAATTGTATAAATAAATTTCATCCACGTGACTGAAACAGTACTCCAGTATCAGTGTTCACAGACATCATACAAACAAGATTGCGAAATAGTTTTTTATAATTTTTATACCATTACATTACTTTCTCAAAACTTAGTATATGAGAAGAAAAATTGATTATACAGTAGTGATGCAAATTGAAGATTAACAAGTTTTAATTTTATGACCACTTCTGTTTTAATATACCAGATACACAATTTTAAAATTATTTGCCTCTTTGAGAGTCCAACATGTATGCTGTCATTCAAATGATCATTTTCACAAAATTTAATACTTTTTTGTTCATGTTTAACTTGACCAAATGCTGATCAAGCTAGATTCTCATTTCATCATCTGATACTTTTTCATACTCTCACAGTTTTATTAGTCACATGATTAAATGTTAAACCCAACAGATATAAATTCTAAGGTTACATAGATAATAGCTGATGAAAGATGGCTGTCATAAAATTTACACTCTAGTTTTGGGTATGACATGGACGATAGCGTGATAGACTGCTAACACGAACATCTTGAGTTCAAATCTAGGTTCAAGTCAGTAGAACATCAGAGTCCATCCAGCTGTAATGGTTACCTAACTATTGTTAGGGAGAGTAAAGGCAGCTGGGCATAGTCCTGACCACACTATCTTTTCATATGCCGAAGTCATAGAAACTGGTGAACTCTACTTCACTTGCAAAATGGACTGTGAGGTTAAAAAATGGTACTTTGCTTTATTTTTTTGAGTTTAGCATGGGTTTTTTAAGTATGACAGGTTGATTTCCTGCCCTAACCTAGTGACTCGCGTGAACAAAATCTAAATATACTTAATAAACTATATAAAATATATATTTCTATTGTGATAGGACATTTACAATGCACTATGGTAGGCCATGCAGTCCAGTCTACTTTTGTCTGCCATGATGAGGAACAGTCTACCCTGGTAGAACATGTAGAAATCCAACACCATGTTTTTAAACTTTGATCTTTGTGTTACAATCAGGAATCTTATTTCCATTTAATAGACTATTCACCAACAGATTACTGATGCTTTTAAATCTGTTGTGTGTTTCTTTTTGTATTCCATAATAACTAAAAACTTTATCCATGTTAAAATAAGAATAAACTAAAATCTAGTTCAGTTTTATCACAGCCAGAGTGATGAGTATGGAGGACTTGTTTTGATATTTAATGATAATGCATAGAATATATGCTCATATTATATCCTAGACATTGAGGTTATGCCAAACAGCGGCACCCGATTTAAGATATACGTTTAAGCCATTTGCTTCTGAAGTGTCTACCAACATTACAATAGGTACTTTAACTCTTCGAACCCTTAATTCCTGACCCTAAAATCCCTGTTGATTTTCTTAGTTTAATAAACATTTGTACATGAATTATTGCCAATAATTGTACATGGTATGCTAGTCTTCCCAGTCGATAGACCCTTGTTCAGACATAGCTAAGTGTGGACAATTAGAAAGCTGATTATTTGAATTTTCCGTCTATTTATCATAAATTGCAAGTAATTAACAGAACACAAAAAGACTTTGTGGGTGCAGGCTAGACAGGAACTAGCCATGAATCAAACAATACTAGTTGGTCTCAGACCAATTTATCAATCTGTTTTGGCACGGAAATTTAAGACTTGGGCCGAAAAAACCGTACTGGGGATTCAAAGTAAACATTAAACAATAATTTAAAGAAGTAAACCACATAAGTAGCGACATTTTATGCATATAAAAGTTCATCTCTTTGGATTACATATTATATCTATATCAGCTGATGAAAGTTATAAAATAGAACACAGTATTATTTTAGCAAATTTGACAAATGTTCATTTATAAAACAGTTTGTTCCAGGATATGTAATCTAAATTATAGTCAATAAAATATGGAGGAAACATTTAGTTAGCCCACTATGCACACTAAGAATATAACAATGTGCTTAAAAAGCAAACAAAATAATTCAAACATAGTTTAAGATAGTTGTAGCATCAACTAGATTTAATGTTGAATCAAACCAGTAGCTTTTCAACAGTAGTAGTAATGGCTTTATTATTAACTAGTTAGGGTGGGGGAGCACATGTTTTTAAAAAAAAGCTGAAATTAAACAGAACAGTATACAAATCTAGATGCTGGCTAGATACCAATTGTGTAAAACTATACGAAAAGTACAACACTCGATATCTACTGTGTATAATGTCTGTTCTATTAAGTCTTTATTTTCAGTTTAGCAAATTAGCTTTAGCATGTATGTTCCTCTTTTGTGTCATTCACGTACTTCCATGTACGACTGTTCCAACTTTTGGTCATCAGGGGTAGGCATGTCTTCTATAAATGTCACTATTCCTATCCATCTCCTAACCATGTATACCTATCTTAAGTTGAACAAGGGGGGGGGGGGATGGAGGAACTAATGTTCTACTTGGTGGGTGTAGATGTCAGAGACCTAGGGCTTGCTGCCCATGCCTTCAAAGCTCTTAGAATGATTGTCTCTATCTTCATTGGATTGTAAATCTCATCTTATGACATGATGTACACAGATGTGCTTCTCTGGATTAATGTATCAGAGTTAGAAAGTATTGGCAAGTAGTTTCAAAAAACAAAGTCTTAAAAAAAGGTTATTGACCTTTGCCCTAACCCAAGTCATGGTAAGAAAAATTGCATCAGGTTGCAGTGTCATATGTCACTGTAGAACAACAATCTTTTTAATGGTGAGAAGCTCGCCTGTCATCACATTATAAATTACTAGCAAATGTTGATTGGTGAAGGGTCTATGAACATTCTGTTTTTGTAGTTGTTTAAAAGTAAATAGGAATACAAATCAAGGCTATTGCAATGTTATTGTTAAAACATCTGAAGCCATTTAACTTTCTTTGTTTAATTTTTCTGTAGTCACGCTAAAGAAAATCTTTATGATGAAATGAAGCTGCTTAAGATTCAACTTATTACACTTAGATAGGGAGAAAATGTTTTTATTATGGTAAATTTTAAAAATCAGTTTTCTCTACATGAATTTTTTAAAATGTTAAAATTTTCTGGGCTAATAAATTTTCAGTTTTTTTTTCTTTTACCAACATGTTAGTCACAATGTTCAATTTGTATCCAAATAACATTCAATAGTTATTTATTTAGAAGTTGTTTGTTGTTTATAAACTTATTTTAAAATTTTTATTAATAATTTACATTTAGTTGATCGTACCCATTAAAGACTATTGTACCCATTAAAGACAGTTCTCCTTTATTATTTTGAACGAATTTACAGAATTATAGATTCAGTGTATATGTTTTTACTTTCACTGATGATTATGATATTTGAAAGTTGAAAAATCAAAAAAACAAACATAAACCTTAAGTAATTTAAGATACAAATTTATATTTAGGTAAACTTATCTGTGATTCTTCTCAAACTTCTATTTTTGTGTGCAATTGATAATAAATAAACCAGGATTATTTTTTTACTTTTAGGTACTGGAGAATCTGGTAAAAGTACCTTCATTAAACAGATGAGGATTATCCATGGTGCTGGCTATTCAGATGAGGATAAACGCAGCCATATCAAAATTGTATACCAAAATATATTCATGGCCATGCATGCAATGATAAGAGCAATGGATACACTCAATATTCAGTATATAAATCCAGCAAATCGGGTAAGTTCACTAAATTTTTGCTTTTATTTGAAACACTAATGCACCTATTTTATTAATAATACTGAGTTTTTGTGAAATTCTGATTTTTTAATGTTTTCCTGTTTGTTTCACCTTCCTAAACTTGTGTTTAGTGGCTTTCTGGTTCCCAATTTCAACTACAGCTCATCAAAATAAAGTGTGTATTTTAAGTGCATCAATTTTGTCAAGTTTAGCTTGACTATTATATTCCTAATGCATATTAAACAACATAAAATCTATTAAACTATTGTTTGCAATAATACCATTACAAATCTATTAAACTATTGTATAAAATTTATTACACTATTGTTTGCAATAATACCTTTACAACCCACTGTAATTTGAATTATGAGACAAACAGTTTATCAGCGTCGTGAATGAATAATGTGGTCATCATAAGTTCTTTGTTCAAGTGAGGCCAACCAGTCCACCCAGATCTTTTATATAATTGAAGTTATAAAAAGTAAAAACTCCTAGACAAAGACCACATCTTATGAATAAATATATGTGATTTAGACCAATGTTTGGCAAAGTAAATGCATTGCAATTTGCATGCACATTGTTTGATCTGTTTTTCTATTTCTGAAGGACAGCCCTGATTTCACCTGTTTGACTATCCAAGTCACCCTGAATATTTGTTTTTAGACATCACATAATCAACTGATTAATTTACCTAAATGTTTATTTATTTTTAAACATAACTACTTGTTGCAAAATATGAGTGAATATATGAAATGAAAACAATTTTACGAAGCAGAACAATTTCTGCTATAGTTAAATTCTTTCAAAAATTTTTCTTCCTTGCTTTTCTAATAGTTGTTATAGTTATACACAAAAGTAAGCTTTCCCACTTAATCCAGTCAGCCAACTTAAAAAATGTTTAAAACCTTTGGTTTCCTACATATATTGAGATACTTTAGATAAAGCAACCCAACACAAAACTAGTATTTAGTATTGTAGCATTGTTGCCATGCAGTGTTCAGCATTTAGAAAGTGACTATGGCTAAACTCATGCTGAAGCTAAACTATGAGCAGGCATACTTATCGTCCAGCTTTCACAACGTTCCTCTAATTTGAAAAATACGGGAAAATGTCAAATTTAAAAATCGAATTGAAAAAAAAAGAATGAGACAAAAGTTATTATTAAGTTATTCGTTTCAGTTGTAATGTTTTGGTCAAGATTAACTTCACCAACATTTTCATGGAAAATGTCTGCTGCCAGGACTTCGGGAGCTAAAAAATGATGAATATTTTAGAAATATTCTGAGAAAGTTTCATATATTAAATAAAAAAATATTTTTTTTTGGGATTTGTAATAGTAAGTTAAATTAAACAATAAAATAAAATATACATTAAAAAGAATACAATCAACCCATTACTACACGCACTAACTAAAATAAAAATAAATAAAAATATTAATACTGAAATAAAAAAAATTAGAATAATTATTACAACGAGCTGATCCGCGACGTAGCATACGCCACTATCTAGTTGTTTTATTTACTACTTATCAGCAATTCATAATTTGTGAATTCGACACTACCCCACCCCCTGCCTTTCCCCACCCCGCCCAGTGAAAGCAGCCGTTTACAGATGACAATGAGAATATCAAGCAGAACTTATCTCCCTTTAGTTTCCAATTGTTTAAAAACTAAATTATCTGCCCCTAATAGCCGTCACTTATTCGAACCGGCTCTACTATTGTAAACATTCGGGGTGAACCATAGCTCACCTGACAGGTGGGGTTTAGGGTGGTGGCTAAGCTGTGTGGTGTTTCGTATGGTCCCCATGAAGAGAATTATCTATATAAATATGTCGAGGAGCTTTAGCATTTGTTGTTCATATGGCCTATTCTAGTTCATAACACATAAATCAAAAACACATGAGCCTGGAAAGCAGTCCAAAGACTCAAAAATAAGTATTAGATTGTTGTAGTATCGACTACCCTAGTACTGAATCTAACCAATAATGTTGAAACACTACAGTTGTGGTTTTATTATAGTTAAATTTAGGTTCAGGGGTTCACATTTAAAAAAAAAGTAAGCTGAAATTAATTAGTATTAGGCCTAGATCTATATAGATCATAATTCTGGCTAAATATTAACTTGGTATAAAGCTAAATCTATTCATAAAACTCGTATCTACTTTGTATTTTATTTTTTAAGTATTTATTTTCTGCTAAGCAAAGTAGCATTCAAGCATATGTTCCTCTTACTTGCTTCAAACTCCTCTTTTTTGGGTATCCTTTTGGTTGCCAGGGGTTGGCATAACAGTATGAGATTCTTTGATAATTTTAATTTAATGAAAATCCCACTTTTCCTTTATAATTACAATCACATTCACAAAAACTGAACTGAGCATGAGCTAAGTAGAATAGTTAGAAATAACACATAACAGTGAATGTTTTTATGTGATGATGCCACAAAATACACAACCATATAACCACAGACACCATCAGTAAGTAAAAAACAGTTCTTCAGCATAAAATTTATTTTTGTGGACTTAGTAAAAAATATTGTTGCCCAGGGTTAGGCAAAATACATTCCCTTTAATGCAGTCCTATTAAACAATAGTGAGAACCTTATAAAGACAGATAACTTGCTTTACCACTTACCTTTATATAAAAATTGATTATAAATGCAGTTATGTAATTTTATTTACAGGAAAATGGCAACATGATTCGTCAAGTTGATTATGAGACAGTTACAACATTTGACAAGCCTTGTGTGGATGCTATTATTTCACTATGGAATGATGATGGCATACAAGAATGTTATGACCGCAGGCGTGAATATCAGCTTACAGATTCTGCAAAATAGTAAGTTTTTGTTGAGCAAAATCTCTGTTTTACAAGCAGCTATTGCTGTAAAATGGACATTGCTTGAACTACGTTATGAATTGTGTTTATTGATAAAGTTAAATGGTCATTTAAAAAATGTACACTTAAATTAGTTTTATCTAGCAAATTCTACAATACTGATCTGATTATAACAATGAATGTAGTGTTTGTCATACACTTTCCACCAGCAGTATATTTGTTCAGTACAATGTGTATAAGGGAGCAGAAGATAAAGTCAGAACCAATTTCTTATTGAATATTGTCTTTGTATGACATGGAGTTGAAATCTATATATATATAGAAAGCAATGTGTGTGTGTGTCTCTTTTATGCATTACTATACCTCTTATCACATTGCCGTGAAACTTGGGGAAGTTGTTGAGAATATTCCTGGGGAGGTTTCAGCGAAAAAAATGTCAAATTCGCAGGGGTGGTGCCCCCAGTAGGGCCAATTTTTTTTTCTTTATGTACAGTAAATAAAAATAAGTCGATTGCGGTTTCACACCGTTCATCTGATAGCCTTTGAGGAGTTGATTAGAACACCCCAGGGAAGGGTTCTGCAAAAAAATCTTTTTTAATTTCGTAAGGGCGGCGCCGCGGGAGGGTGCGATTTTTCTTAATATACAGCATAAAAAAATAAGAAAAGTGAATTGCAGTGACACCGTTCACATGATCGCCATGGAACTTAGGGAAGATGTTGAAAATACTCATGGAGAGGTTTTTGCGCAAAAAACATGTACAAATTTGCAGGGGTGGCGCCCAGGCAAGGCCAGATTTGTTCTCTCTCTATATACGGTATATAAAAATAAAAGTCGATTGCGGTTTGACACCGTTCATCCGATCGCCATGAAATTTTTGGGGAGTTAATTAGAACAATGCAGAGAAGGGTTCTGCAAAAAAAAATATTTTTTGATTTTGCAAGTGTGGCACCCCGGGAGGGTGCTATTCTGCTCTATATATGGTATATTAAAGAAAAAAAAGTCAGATGCGGTTCGACACCTTACATCAGAGTGCTATAAAACTTTAAAGAGTTGATAAGAATAGAAAATAATTATAATTTTATATAAGTGGCATACCGGAGGGTGCGATTTTCATCAATACACGATTTGGCGCTTAGAGTTTCAGAGCGGCTATGCTAGCACTTGGCATCCGTTAATCATTCGTCCTTCATAGCGGGTAAGGGATACCACTATATTCAGCATTAAAACTTCAACAGGCGCAACCGCCGGCGCCCCGTAGATTGCACAACCCCAAACATCAAGGCAGTGTAATCGGGGGCTCCCGAGAGCGCTCCTCTATGTCCCTGACACATGGGCAGTCACCAAAGTGTGCTCTACCTCATTATTTCTGTGAATCTGATTCACGTACACTCAAGGTTTTCATGCGGTAGTGTAGGTAAACCAGTGTCCCTATATTTATGATCCAAGCGCAGGCATTGTTTACATTTAAATAACTCAGTTTTAGAAAGCAAGCTCATGCGTCTAAGAACATTAGGATTGGTAGAGCATTCATGAAACCCTTCTTATATATTTCATCAGACTTTCTTCTATCCCCGCGGCAATTCACGGGGACGGGTATGCTAGTGGAAAATAAAATGCCTCAATGTACTAAATTAATTGCAGTCATTAAAATAGTTCCTGAGCTTGATTCAAATTTTACTTAAATAACTTCATCACAACAATCGCCAACGGAGACTTCCCATTGTCTGCTTTGTATTTGAATGAGAAGAACTCTTGCAGATGACACTTTTGTGTTATACGATAAATTTGGTCATAAAACACTTCTTTAAAGTAAACCGTCAGTTACAGCATTGCAGCCATTTAATAACATACCTTTTTTTTCAAAAAGCATTTTCTAGGCTACTGATTAATTTTAATAATTGGAATTGGTATAAAATCAGGTATACAAATGTAGTTTTTAATTGTTTTAGTCACCTTAATAATGAAGTTCAAAATTGCAAGCGATCTATTTCAATTACTTAAACCATTTTTACCTCAGGATTTTGAAAATAAACGTTGACTGGATGCAAAAAACCTAGATAGCTTATTTAGTAACAATTATTTAAAACTATTTCTTTCATTTCCAGTTACTTAGACAGTGTGGAAAGAATCTCACAGCCTGATTATTTGCCCACATTACAAGACATTCTACGTGTAAGAGTACCTACAACTGGTATTATTGAATACCCCTTTGATCTGGATAGTATAATATTTAGGTGAGTTTCTTGCCAAAGTTGTTTATACTATGCATGTCATGTACTAATCTAGTTCTGTTTGGTCAAATATTAAAAAAAAAACACCAAATAAATAGAATACAATGTGTACTCAAATAGTTTTAAACTTCTATGTAATGGAACAGCATTAAAAACTTTAAAAAAGTTATTACTTAGCACCAGATGTAAAATGTGAATAGTTTTGAACAAAATGGTGACAGCAATGGACAGTTTGATTGAATCACTTGAGTGTTATGTTCCCAAGTTAAGTTTTTATAGCCAAAATTTAATTGCTAGAGAAAAGTTAATAGAGAGTCTGTGCATATTATAATTTCTATCAGAGGTTTTTCATTCACTTAACAATGAATCTACCATTTAAAAAATTCATGAACACGCTACACTTGTGAGAAGCAAAAAACTATCAATACATTTTTTGCAGAATATAACATGCGTGCGTCTATTTACTTTGATAAAAACTAATGTAAAAAATAATAGTTTTAATTTACACTAGAAGAACCCAAACAAATATGTTTTTTGATAATAGAGAACGGAAACAAAGATCCTCAATATTTGGAAGTAGCCCACAACTTAGATTTAGGTAATTTATTATTCTAAAATATGTATTCAGCTGCCAAACAAGAAAATGGCTTGTAATGTTGGGATGCTTCTCTATTTGGTTTTTTTTTTACACACCTTGATTTTTGTTTATATATATAAAACTAAAAAGAAAGATAAACTTCCAAAACTTGTATTTGATGCTTGGTTTTGAAATCAATGATCAAATTTTTTAATTAAATCATAATCCTAACCCTTATTTTGAACCTAACACAATAAAAACCAATATGCTTGTGTCGTCTATAACATTTCTGCGTGTTTCCCTGTAATCTGTTGGGTGAATGCTTCAAAACTTTTCCTTTCATATTACTCTAATAAAATACTTTAGAATCAGTAACTAGCAGCTTCTGAAAAAAACTATTCAAAAATTAAAAACTAAATCAAATAGCCTGGCTTTTATTACAAATTTTATTAGCCTATAGTCAAATATATTGTAGTTTATATAGGTAATAATACTGATATTCTAAATTGATATTGTTCTTGACTAAATAATATATTGTACTTGGCAATAATAATTTATATTATTTTATTATAGTGATATGTGTGCTAAAAAAGTTATTTAGTTTTACTAGTAAATAGGTCTATTAGTAGGTGGATAAATTATTAAATTTAGTTTATTTAGGCTTAGTAAATAAATCTCTCAGTAAAATCTTCTCAACTACGGAACTTAGGAAGTAATTGATATAGGAGCATTATTATTTTCTTTGCATATAACTAAATACATTGATAAATCACTGAAAATCAAAAAATATATGATGCCATATAGCTACAATCCATTTTCAATCTAAATAAGTGTGTAAATCATATTACATGATATATATAATAGAATATACACAATTTAGAATAGTTTTGAAATATCATATTTTATTTATAATGAAGTAAGCAGAACTTTATGGAAAAAAGTTATTAAAAAATACCAACCTCCATGGTGATAAGACAGACCGCCGGCTCACTAAAGTTAAATTGGAAATGGAACAAAATTTTCTTCTACTGAAAAGAGGCGCTATTATTTTTTAAGGGAGATTATAATAAAGGGCTGCAACACAATAATTATTGTGTATCTAAATTTAATTCATTTGTGTGTTCACAATGGTATGTGCCATATGGCAACATTATGCAATATAGGTTAAAAAGATACATTGTACTTTTATTGCAATCTTTCAGTATATCATTTTGTCAAATTTTGATTGATGTGGTTTATTGTTTTGTTATACTGTGAATAGCGTAAAGTGGTGGATTAGAGGAATGTTATTTTGTTTAGGGCAGGTGCTTATTTTGGCTCAATTGTACAGAGCTAATCCAGATGGTGTCTTGACATATGTTTCTGGTTGTTGTTTGGGTCTCTAGTTTGCTTATTCGAGACATGCAATGCTAGCTTGAAACAAATTTAAAGTCAATTTTTAAAGAATCGCACTCATTAAAGCTAAATAAAAGCACTCCTGCTAAGAGAACTGATTTTAAAGCATTGGATACCCACTTGCTGCATCCGACCATGTTGGAAAGTATCAGTGTCCTAGGTTGGCTATAGCTGAATCACGTATGAAAAAACAAAGTTCTTTTAACTAGACATTTTGGTTGGTTCCCTTGTTTTAAAAGAATAATAAATTTTTATCTTGATGAAGCTCTCAAAATTGTTTTGTAGCTTTTTGTTTATGGAGAAAGTTGGGTGTTACTAGAATGAGTGGTCGTGGTTGCCTATGGAAATTTTGTATTAAGTGAGCTAGATGGGTTCGTAAAAACAATAATTTATGAATATATGTATGCTATTCCCTGTTTCTTAAATTGTGCAGATATCTATATATTTTAAAGTAAAACTACTTCAAGATCAAAGTCGGATTCCGAAGCTGAGATAAAATATGAACCCAGAAGGATACATTTTGCACCTGATAAAAATAATAAATGAAATGTTTGGTGTGGAAATCCTTGATTTTACTGCTCACTGTGTAGTCAGTAGGAATTGTATGATTTATTGATGTTTACTAGGAATCTCACTACAATAACTTGTTGCAATTTTATTTTAATTAATTTTCCCACAGAATGGTGGATGTAGGAGGTCAGAGGTCAGAACGCAGGAAGTGGATCCATTGTTTTGAAAATGTAACGTCCATCATGTTTTTAGTCGCCTTAAGTGAATATGATCAGGTCTTGGTTGAATCGGATAATGAAGTAAGTCACAGTACAGACTTTGGAAAAATAAGATACTGTCACATCATAACATATTGGTTGTTGTACCAGCTATCATGATAAACCTGTAAAATGTATGTTTGTCTTTCTTTCATAGAACCGTATGGAGGAATCCAAAGCCTTGTTTAGAACGATTATCACATACCCGTGGTTCCAGAATTCATCTGTCATTCTTTTTCTCAACAAGAAAGATCTCTTGGAGGAGAAGATTATGCACTCGCATCTTGTAGACTATTTCCCTGAATTTGATGGTAAACTCACTCTTTAGAATAACAGAACATCGCTTCATAGATGTTATAAATTGTTTTAACAGATACAAGTCACAAAACTTATTATTTTCTGACGCCAAAACATTTACTACATATTTTCAAAGTGGAACTAAAAAAATTATTCAATAGGTTGATTAAATCACCAAAAGAATTATCACTTTTATTAAAATGTTTAAATTTAATAGGTCCTTTCACTGATCCATTTTAAATTGTGAAACCTTGAATTTTTCAACTTTGTTAACAAATCTGATAACTGTAAAAAATTGTATTTAGGTCCAAAGAAAGAAGCAAGCACAGCTAGGGAATTCATCTTAAAAATGTTTGTAGAACTAAATCCTGATCCAGATAAGATCATCTACTCTCATTTCACCTGTGCCACAGGTAAGGTTAACAAACTACCACTTTTTTCTTAATTTAAATTAAATGTGTAATTGAAACCCTACAATTTTGGGACAATTTAACTGTTATATAGTTTGTTTTGTTAAATAAAATATTGTTACAGATGATCAGCATTAAATCTTAAATAAAAAAAAAACGATCATCCTCATGGACTCTTGTTAACATTGAACAAATTAAAAATTGAATTTTTTTTATGCAACAAAGTAGCAGATTCTTAAGAAAAAAATTCTCTTTCAGGCAGGTGGGAGGGGGGGGGGGGGGGGGGGGAAAGGAGCTCAACTCTACCTATCCTTTATTAACCTATGATTGTTTATTATCTTATTCTTAAGCTCCATAGGTTTCCCCTGTTTTTACCATCCTTTAATGAGTGCATACCTCACAATATGTATAATTCAGCCATAGAGATGAACTTTACATTTTTGAAATGTTGCGTTACTAACTTTCAATGCTGTACATTAATATATACAAGAATCAATGCTGACTGTTATTTTTGTTTCCATTTTAGATACTGAAAATATAAGGTTCGTGTTTGCAGCAGTGAAGGATACCATTCTCCAACTGAATTTGAAAGAATACAACTTGGTTTGAGCGAGGGGACAGCTTTTTCCTCTCAGTAAACCCATGCGCCCCTACACTCATCATCACCACCCACTGGCCTGTCAGATGCCTACCCCCACCCCTCAACTGTTTTTCTTGTTGCACCACATCCAAAGACACCCACCATCTGAGAAGAGACCAATATCATGGCAAAACTTTCAGGATCCCAGGTCAAGGTTGAATTCACAAGTTCAAAGTTCATGTATTTATGTTTTGGTGTTTGCACAAACAGGTTATTTCTGTGGACCTACCATCCTGTCCTCAAGCAACTGCTATCCAGAATATAAAGGCAACACTGTGTAAAACTTCTTTCTTTTGCACATATAATGTAAAGCTGTGCACCCAGTCTTGAAGAAATCAAATTAGATACATTTTGTTAAGAAAAACATCTTCTGAAACGGTCTTAATGCTTAGGAATGATAGCTGATGAAGCCATGTGTTTGAATCATCACTGAAATGTTCTCTTGGACATGTTAATTCTACTTCTGTTTCTGGGCTTTCTTCAGGTGGAGATTGTGTTCTAATGGATTGCCATTTGAGAGGAGGGATTTAAAAAAAAAAACAACAAATTAAATCTATGTAAATTTTCACCATGTTTAATTTCAGTACTATAAGTGTATGTATGTATGTATATATATACATGTGTGTACGTTTGTGTATATATGTATATGCATATGTATATGGCTGTGTATATATGTGTGTATGTATATATGTATATATACATGTACATGTATATGGCACATGCTCATATATATAATATGTATGTATATCCATACAGACATGCATTAGTAAAAACATTTTTATTAAGGTTTGATATGCATGGAACAAAATATGACAAATCATCCATATGATACCGACCTAGTGGTTACTTTGTTTATTTTAATGTCTTTTCAGTTGGATCATTTTTATTACTACAGCTCTTTATAAAACAGTAGTAGTTTTCAATGAATGATTGTTTGTAAGGTTTTTCAACCAACCACCTTGCTGGGTAACTGATTGGAAAAAGATAAATAATTATTGTGAAGAAAGTGATTTGTTTGATGTTTTAATAAATATATATATATCTTATTGTGTGTGTATGTATATAAATGTACATATATATGTGTATGTATATAAATATATATATATGTATACATATGTATGTATATGTGTGCATGTATATATATATATTTAAATATATATATAATAATGAGTGTGTGGTTGGCTAGGTCAATATATGATACACTTTCAGATTATGTTCTCTGTTTGAACTCATGTATACTCATCTGAGGCTTGTGGAGAGTTTATTGAAAATTGTGGGTGTTGTTTTGATTGCCCGATTCGGGCTTGTTGTATTTATACTAAAATTTATACATACATAAATTTATATATGTGTGAATATATGTGTATGTATACCTCTATATGCACACACATAACATTTACCCTAAAATGATTTCCTCTCAGCAAGCTCTTAGATTTTGCAAACCAAAATTGTTTGGCTTTTGGTGTCAGTCATTTTGTGCATGATAAAACATTTGCATCAGTTCTACATTTCTACACTGCAAACTCTACAAGGTTTTAATTAATAGAATATTTATGGCGTGTTTCTTCTCTAAAATTGCTCAAAATTTTTTTTTCTGTTTTTAGCACAACCAAATTTTTCATACAACAGTATTGCAGAGATGCTGAATAGTACCAATTGTGACAGATTTTTTAAATAATTTTCAGAACATAAGCTATAACTGACATTTTTTTCTTCCACTTGCATTTGAATTAAAATGAACTAATTTACTCAGATCACACAAAATTTTCTAGAATAAAAAATGTATACTAAAAAATGTATCTGTGTATTGGACTAGTTTGGGACTACATTGTATGCTTATCAAATGGGTTTTAAAAATTAGCCATTTAACTACCATGTATGCTTATAAAATGGGTTTTAAAAATTAGCAGTTTTACAATAATTTTTTTATTTTTGTCAATAAAAAGATAACAGTATACAAATTTTATTTAGCAGTATTAGTGCCAATTTACATATTAAATGTTGATAACTATTTGTAAGAATGATAAATTTGTTACCAATTTCAAAAACCGGTCGTAGCAATTTATAATATACGATAAAATGGATTCTAATCAGGATCAGCATAATAGGTTTTTTTAAAGAATGAATCAAACAGCCTAATGGAATTGTTTCTACATCTTCCTGTTGTCTGGGTTAGAGGATTGTTCAAATTTGTGGGATCAAATTTCACTGCATTATTGTATAACTAGTGTGCTGCAGCACTGCGTGTGTGTGTAAGTCTACTGCACGTGATAGCTTTGTTTGAAGCCAATGCTTGGTTGTTGCCACCACTCTGTCAGACACATATGGATTAGAAACTAACCAGTTACAAACATGTCTCAGCATGCCCACCTTTCCTTACATGTTTTATTGACATTCAATTTATTTATAAATTTATCCTATATTTTTTCTTTAGCTCAATGCATGTTATAAAATCTAAAATTAAAACGCACATTGTATTTATATATTATAAACAGATAGCTACTAATAAAACTAGTTTGTTACAAAATTTTTATGTAAGAATTCTATATAATTTTAACCTTTTCATCTAAGAGAACTATATCATAAAACTTGAAACTGTACATTCATGTTTAAAACTATTGTGGCAATTTTAAATTATAAAATTACTAAAAATTTACCATTACAAATTTGTATTCTTTAATTTTAACTATTTCCTTCTGAAATTTTTTTTAGAAGAAATAAACCTGTAATTACAATGAAATGTGTGTCTGGCAGAGGCTAATTTATTTACACTATAAGTTATTTGTTTCATTGATTTCTTAATGACAGTTAATATTTATTGGTTTGTTTTACATTTTTTTTATGTATACAGTGTTACTAAGAAATTTATTATGTGCAATTCCCATACTTTATAATTTTCTTATCACAAATTGCCCCCTTTTCTCCCAGTCATTCTTATTATAATGAAATTAAGTAGTGTAAATTTTTAAATTGTCCACTTTGTTTCAAGGGGGAGGAGGGAGGGTAGGGGGATTCATCATGAGGTTTTCCCTACCAATATGTATAATTCATGTTATGTATTATGACAACAAACCTGTTCAATGTTTTTATCAATATCTTCATTGCTTTTTTCCCCCTCTATCTGAAAACATTTCAAGCTCTTGGTCATTTGTGTAACCAAACATGTTTGCCTGTTTAAAAAAAAAATTAAATTGTATTTATAATTAATTAGCAGAAATATTTGTTTTTGCTGGGGTAATTACCCAGCTTTAGATTAACTGTTTAACCTTGGCTTTATCACATGAAGAGAATTATTTTTCTGCTCTTGTTTGGACTCAAACCATCAGTGTTTGAAATACATACTGGATTGAGGTTGATAAAACTCATTGCATCAAAATGTTTCTCACAGATAATTATAATAGCTCTGTAACATTTACCCTTTTTATAACACTATTTTTTCATGTGCAATTTTAATCAATTAAAAAACAAAAAATGATTGTTGTTTATTTTTTTTTTTTGTTTTTTTTTCCCTTCTGAACTATAATGAAAAAAGTGAAAATGATTTTCAGTTGTGTGAGTTACTTTTAATATGTGACAAAAACTTAGAGCAGAAGTGTGAATGATAGTGGAATGCTCATGAATTATGACTTGTTAAAAGTATGTAGAATTAAAAAAAAACATTTTATGGACTATTTTCTTGTTGAATATATTACAAAAATGTTGAATGTTTTATGTGAGTGAGTGATCATACATTTTTTCATGACGATTGAAAAACAAACCATTTGCAGGTGGTTGTCTAATGGCGTTCATGTGTGTACAATGCAATGTGTCCACCATTTAGAATCACGACATGAGACAAATGATTTTCAGTATTACTTAGCTCTATTCTATCTCTTCAATGACAGAAATTTCCATTTTCAAATCTTGATGCTAAGATTAGCACAACGCTTAATGCAAATAACTTGATAGCTAAATAATTCAATTTATTCATCTTAAAACTGAAATTAGCTTTTATATTGTGTTAAAGAAAAACTATAGTGAAAACAAATGTGCAATTTAAAAACATACATTTTATATTTCTTAATTTAGAGTGTAGAAAGGTGATGTACCAGTAACATTTTAGTTTGATTTCTCGTTTAGAAGGCAGAAAAATGATGTATCGTAACTCTAATTTTTTCCATTGCTTGTGTTGGGGACATGTTATAATGTCCTTGTAAATAGTTTTATGGCACATGAACATTTTCATTGCCTTGAGGTCACAGTGTATACATTTTTAAAAAAATTTCAAACGTGTGGTTAGACCAACATTACAATAGTGTTTAGAAAAGAATTTGATAGAGATTTGTTTTGGAACTGTTTATCATGTTAGACATGAAATTTTTTTTTCTCATGTCGTGTTTTAGTGTTAAGCATTTAAAACAATCCTAAAGAGATGATAGTCTATGTATATTTTTTATACTTACTAGGCCTGCCATAATTTGTTGTTCCCTGAGTGCAGGTCGAGATGTGAGCGTTATACCCAGCATGAATGTCTTACATCCCATGGACCATGTCAATCTCTAAGCTCAACTTGCATCCTCTACTCAATAGTTGTAAGTATCAGACGGGTAGCAGACCTCATGGGCTCCAAACTTCCATCTGTTTGCTCTTGGCACGTCACTTCTAGCCCTCTGGGGCTGCCTTGCCTTATCATTTCTTTCACAGGAATGAGAAGCTTGTGATTTTGAGAGAAAAAATCTTTGTGATGTAGATTAGCTTTTTTTTTTTGTAGCCGTAATTCATATAATTATTTAAATCTAAAATAGTATTCTTGTTTTTACAGATATGAGTATGCTCTTATTTAACTTTTAATTTTGTTTCGGCTAATAAAAATTGAGCACAAGTTTTTCATTTCCACAAAGATTTTTCTCTAATCAAGGTGTCTCATTGAACTGTTGACTTGTATCAAGGGCAGAACCTTTTCATCAGTGCATTTGTTCTGTTATGCTGTTAAATGTACAACTAAGTAGATGACATTTTTTCTATAGCCATACAAGATAGTAGTTTCTTTATTCCATTGTAGAAAGAATGTAATTTTTTAAACTAAAAAAATTTTTATCTGTTGATTTACTTGTGAATTAACATCTAGAAATGATTGAGGCCTCTATTACATAAATTCTTGTTGTACTTGTGACTAACATAGGAGTCTGATTGCTTCTTTATCCATCATATGGGCATGTCTGTATGATTGTCAAGGTTTATGTTTTTATATTTATGTTCTTTGAACAGAGTTGTCTAATGTTTATCTGCCTTCTTGTTAATCTATAAGCTAATTTTGTGGTGGGACTTGAATACTTGATTGAGCAAAATTCAAGTGAATGAAAGTATGGAATGGGCATGTGTGAAAGTGCAGAGACAGTGGGTGTTTAGGCCAAACTAAATGACAAAACCCAAATAACATGATGTTTTTGCATTTTATAGATTTATCCAAATGATAATTACTGAAATTGTACAGGTAAAACCTATGTGGCACTGGAAAGCTTAATAATTCAGCTGTAAATTTATATGTAATGACAGCCGTAGCAAGTTATAGGTGACATACTCGTAGACTCACATCAATTACAGTTTCTTATAGGCCACACAAAAGTGGAGATTTTAAAAATATTTTGTCGGGTGAATTCAGTTGGAAAACTTTGGTCACTTCTAGATATTTTTCTCCATCTTTATATTTGTGAATTTTTTATTTACCTAAAGAAAATGTGTAAGGTCAAGTAAAATGTAGTGTGACTACAACTGACAGAAACCAGCAGTAGTTGTGTCAAGTGTGTAGAGGCCGTCCAAATCTTGCTTACCAAATCTTGCTTACCAAATCTTGCTTACGGGTATAGAGAAGAAAGTGCAAGAAACGTTTTTGGTGGCTCATTCACCATCTCTCAGTCTTGCTTCAATGCTCAAAGGGAAAAGATTGTATTCAAACCCAGCTGGCTCAATCAGATTTCCTGGCTCAATATTTCTCAACAACGTTCAGTTCTTCTCCTTAAAGTTGAGAATTTTTTAGTTTTTACAGTAAACAAGTACCAGAAATTAGCATGTGTAGAAATGTCAGACTAACGAAACATAATAGAGAGAATAAAGAAAATTTAAATCTAGGGGTGGCATGAAATTAATTACCCCCCCCCCCCCCCCCCTCCCTACTTCCCCGTGAAACAAGTCATGGTTGTGTGACACAGGAAATTGTGGTTGCCCATGTGAGGAATTGTGTGCGTGTCCGCAACATGTGTTGTTTGGCACGGAGCTCTTTTATGTGTGTGTATATGCAACGTCTGTCTCTGATGCATGGTTGAAATTTTACCAGGCACAATCAAATGAGCGGGACAGTTGTAGTTCCATAGTAGACAAAGGCGCCACTGTATGTTGTAATGGCCAAAGTCTGGTTTTTAACTTTTTAATTTTGTAGCTTGTAAAATTTTTTTTTCCTCAACTAAATTCTAAGCATGTATACACAATAATGAACAAGACATTGATCGAATAAATGTTTAGAATAAATATTTATTCCCATAAGTTGTAATATTTTAAATTTTCAATTGAGAGCTAATGAAAGTCAGGCCGAGCTGGTTTTAGTGTGAGTTGGTGAGTTTTTAACCATGTATTGATGACAGTAAACAAATATTTTTTAACAAAATTTGTCGGCACAAGAATCTGTGTTTTAATATGTCAACTCTTTCATCTGTAATGTCTTTTTTGCAATGGATTATATCCATGTATCCATGTTTTTTTTTTGCATGATCCTGGATGCTAGGTGTGTGGATATTTGTAACTTTCTAAAGCTGTTTTTTCTCCTAAAGTTCAAACAAAATGATAAGCCTTGCTGTCTGTGTAATCCTTAGGTTGCTTTTTTCTTGTGTAAATAAGAGGTGTGTACACCAATGAATGTATAGAATACTGAGTATATGATATACATTGAAATAATAGTTTGACTATGATTATATATAGTTTTAAAACACTTTATTCATTGATTATTATCATTGTTATTTTATTTAATTTCTATTTATTTTTTTACTTTTTTAAAAGTTGAGCAAAGGCAATTTATATTGTTTAGGGCAAATTGTGAAAAACTGTATTGTTTCATTTCCTTTTTTTAGTTTTTAATATTTGTGTTCTGTTGGTTAAAAAATTGCATAGGTACCCTAATACTTGAATTGAAACAGTTACATAAAATATAAGTATTATTACAACAACAAAAAATTGTGCATTTAAACCAAATGTTGTCAATCAGTAGAATACCACAATAACTAGCTTAGCGGAGATGTTTTAAATATTGATTGCTTTATTATGCTCAAGAAAATTCTTTCTGAAATGTCACAAATGAATACAAAAGATTTTTTTCTTAAATTTGTTTTCAAGATTTGAGGTTGCTTACTTAAAGGGCTGGTGCTATGCCGTGATGTAATGCTTGTACATCTAATCAAGCTTTGAATGACAAGTGTTCATATTTTATAGATAGAAAAACTCTGGCTAAGAAATCTACAAACATAAAATATTTCTTATTGTACATGCCTTGTATTTACATTTTTCTTCAAATTCTATATTTCTATATATAATATTTGACCTGAGAACTCAGTTAGCACCTGGCTAGTGTTTGCTATTCACACACACACAATTTTTTCTACTGATCTGAATCGTTCAAATAGCACGCACTTTCATTTGCCATTTTCCAATGGTTGTTGCTTTTTTGTTTTCTTCTTTTATGTTTTTTTTTTCCTTTCTCTCCTTCTTTCTTCACACATTTCTTGTCAATGTTTAACAATTTGTTTATTATTATAATTTTTCAAAAGATAATTTACAATTTTCTGTTGTTTGTTAGTTGTAAGCGCTACTACATTGAAAACTGTGAACTCATTGATGTGAATAATATACCAGATCAATAAATCAGTGAAAAGTTTGTGTCATAAATTATTGACTTGATGACTTTTATTTTCTAATCATTACGGCATAATTAGTATTTTCTTGTAACAACCTGACTAACCCTAACTTCTTTAAAGTCCGCTGATGATATTCCTGCAAGGGTGGAGGCTCGTAAGAACGAATGTTGATTTCAGTACATTTAAGTAGTCAACTTTTCAAAGGGTAGCTGATGGATAACTGTCCCCCATGTGAATGACAGCTGACTGATAACTGTCTCCGATGTGAATGACAGCTGGTGGATAACTGTCTCCGATGTGAATGACAGCTGATGGATAACTGTCCCCGATGTGAATGGCAGCTGATGGATAACTGCCCCCATGTGAGCCGTTCATTTCTTGCAGAAAGGAAAACTCACTTCATGAATACAGCTGTTTTAAAACACCATGTTCCGTTTCGCAAAAACATTCGAGCCTAGTCCACATACACCCCACTACACACACTCATTTACCCACATTTTTGTGTTATATAAATATATGTCCACGATGTTTTATCTATGCTGCACTGTTAGTAAATATTTCCAATATTGGAAACTATTCGCATTGCATATAGGCATATAGAATGCTATAAGTGTTTCTTCCAGACTTTTTTTCTCCATGGAAGGGGGCACTTGAATTTTCGGGGGGGGGGGGGGGGGGGGGGGAACATATGTCCCCGGGCGCCGACCTTAGGGTGGCGCCAAAATGGGTTGGAAAAACAAATTGAAAGTTTGAGGGCGCCGGGAAGGGTCTCTCTGGGAAGGGGGG